GTTATACTTGAAATTCATTGCAATTCAGTCCAGGTCAACGTGAAGTTTGTTCTTCGTTGATTGGGACACTTATTGTAACGAATGAGTGATTTATGACTCATCTTAGGTTATATTAATTTTACTCAAGCATTGGCTTCGACTGAAATTCAATTGTTCTTTTCCATTCTTTTGCTCTATTATACATGCAGGTAGTAACGTTGGGTGCCGGGCAAGATGTGGGCCGAAGTTGTATTCTGTTGTCTATCGGAGGCAAGAATGTGATGCTGGACTGTGGAATGCACATGGGTTATCAAGACGAAAGGCGCTTCCCGGATTTCAGGTATTTTCAAAGTTTTACGAGTTTACGTTTAATCTTCCTTAATGATTACATTTTGTTGTTGACTATTCTTATTGCTGCACACTGCATGTTTATTAGTCAAATAATAAGGTGTTTATGCACATTATTTATAGGAAATGATTCACATGCATCTGTTTTTCTTTTGCAGTTTTGAAAAAGTTTCGTGTAAAAGTTGACCGCTTGAAAATTGGTAGAGTTGAGGCTGACTTAAGTCTGAGTATTTATACTTCTGTCTTTCATGCGAAAGATAGCATGTTTAGAACAAGAGCTACGCATATTCAAAGGAATTCAGTTGTCGTAAAAGAATGAGAGTGCGACTCCATGATATTCACCTTCGTATTCCAGATTGTCGAATTGCATTTGACTAAAAAAGTGTTATTTCAGTTTCATTTCTGGTGGAACCTCTTTAGATGAACACTTGGATTGTGTAATCATAACGCATTTTCACTTGGATCATTGTGGTGCTTTACCGTTCATGACTGAAATGGTAGGATACGAAGGACCNATTTCTTCAATAATTTCTCCCTGTTTTGAATCATTGGATCGGAATGTTCGGTTTCTCGTCAAAATTGTGAATTATTGGCTCTTTTCTGACACGGGATAATTTCTAGGTGAAAATCAGCTGAAGTTTCCACTGGATTCCTTGATCAGTTTTTTTCCTCTACAGAATATTTGCGATTGAAACCTATAGCTTTGCTCGCCTGAAAATTTTGCCGCTCCTTTAATTGCTTTCGATTCAGTTTTATATTTCGGTTTATTTGTTGACTGTGAAGTTTTCTTATGGAGATATTTGCTGCAGGAAGATTTTCGTAAAGTTCAAACTGAGTTCCGTGGCGAAAAGAATTTCTTCACATCTCAAATGATAGCAACTTGCATGCAGAAGGTTATTCTGCTCGTTCACTTATTGATTCAAATGATTTTTGTGAGAATGTTTGTTGACTCGTATGTCGAAATCTCAAACATAATGCCATATCACATAAGATATCTAAATACGTAATGAATTCCTAAATCTCCAGACGTCTACTAAGACTTATTTGTTTACATGCATTCATTTTCACACGTTTCTTGTAATTCACAGTTAATGAGGTTCTCGTATTGAAATATTTTATTGATGAATGTGGTTGAATTGAACAATGTTTCGTTGGTAAACAGTCAATGACAATAAATGATTGGTAGGTGAAAGCAGTCAATGTGAATGAAGAGGTCATTGTTGATGGTAAACTGAAAATACGTGCTTTTTATGCGGGTCATGTGCTTGGTGCTGCAATGTTCCTTGTTTCGGTTGGCTCGGAGAGTGTTCTGTACACAGGTCATTATTATTCCTATTCTAGTATTACTATTATTAATATTATTTATTTTGATTGTTAAATTAGTATTGTTCTATTGAAAATTATACTGGTATTGGTATTTGCACTTACTTTTTATTTCTGCCCTGTTCGCTTCTGTCACCGATAAAACATTAATTTCTCGATCAGTGCATCTTTCGTTGAACTCCTGAAAAACGATCACTGTTGTATTAGATTTGTTAGAGCATCAGTTTATTTTAGGTGACTTCAACACGACACCGGATAGGCATTTAGGTGCGGCACATGTTGAGCCTGGATTGCGACCGGATTTGCTGATTACTGAGACGACATACGCAACAACGATTCGTGATTCGAAACGTGCTCGCGAGCGTGATTTTCTGAAAAAAGTTCATGATTGCGTTGCAAATGGTGGAAAGGTGTTGATCCCCGTGTTTGCATTGGGTCGTGCTCAAGAGTTATGCATTCTACTTGAATCGTATTGGGAACGAATGGATTTGAAAATCCCCGTTTACTTCTCGCAAGGTCTTGCTCAAAAAGCCAATCAGGTAAAGTAATTGATGTTATCTAATCTGTTTTCTGTAGTGTTGAACAAATTATAAAGCTTACCGTGATCGGACGATGCTCAGCATACTGTGTCAGCACGGTTCGTAACGTGATTGTGGATGCTTCCAGTTGCCCTTATATTCCTTCATTAGTAATATTATTTCTTAAGCTTTTTTTATTGCTGCCGAAATTGCGTTGTAATTGAAATGAGTGCCGTTTTGAAACAAGTCAAAAAATTGCGGAAGTTTCAGTATTATCGATTGTTCATTAATTGGACCAACGAGAAAATCAAACGAACATTCGTGCATAGGAACATGTTCGATTTTAAGCATATTGGACCGTTCGACAATTCAGCCGCTGACGCACCAGGACCTATGGTACTATTTAGTACGCCTGGTTAGTATTATTTCGGGTGTATTTCACTCTTGTGTCATTACTATTCGGTCACATGTCATATAGCGTACTCTTCATTCGTTCACCCACGCAAACTTATGTTGATTTGTTGACATTTGTGGTGACTGAATATTCAAGACTTATGGTTATTTCAGCCA